GTTTTATTTGAGTTATTTTAATACTTCAACAAACTAAATGGAAATGAAATAATATATACTGTATATTGAATTTATAAATGTGTATGTACATATACAGTATATATGTATGTGTGTGTGGTTGTACATACACATATGTAGTTTTTTGATTTTTTTTGGTGTTTGGCTTAATGTTATGTTAGAATCATTATTATACTCTTATACCTTTTGTTCTTTACTATTTTGAATTGTTTTTAGCTTTATTTTTTGTTTTTCATTTATGTTAAGTTTTGAAATTTTGTTGTATGCATTTGTCATTTTTATTTAATCTCTTTATTTTTAAAATGTGTATAGGTAGTATTTATAAAGTTTTTAGCTTTTAGTTTTGGATCTGTTTTTAGTTGTTTTAATACTACAATTGATTGCTTCTGTTGTCCTCATTTGTAAGTCGCTTTGGATAAAAGCGTCTGATAAATGACTAAATAAAAAAATAAAGTCTACATTTAAAAAAAGCTAATTAAGAGTGCTTTTACACTGGCAGTTTAGTTCAAAACAAGGCCCAGTTTGCACGAAAACTGGCAAAGTGAAAGCTGTCATTCGGACCCAGAGCGCCGATAGCCAAGTGTGTACCACACACTTGTTCACTAAGTAAAGTAACCTGCATGTGTTTTAGCTGATGACGACATCATTAGTTCTACAAAATGTGTAGGGGATGAAATTATAATAGAAATTTGTAATGTACAGTACATCCAACTACTGATCTGCATCATCTGAGATGATCTTCATTTCTCTCCAGGGTGGCAGAAGAAACACGAGTACAAATTACAACAAACAGGCAATAAAACTGCACATATGGTAGTGGTTCTGTGTTATTATTAGTTAAGGTGTTGTTTACCATGCCTTTATGTGCCTGTCCATGATGGTGGTACGACTGATATTTTGTGCAGTATTCACCACCTGCTGAAGAGTCCTGTCAGCCACTGAAGAACACAGATATTGCTTCAACACATGTCATGTTCGTGGGAATGGGAGTGCCAGACATTTTGAGTCTCATCCAGAACTGAGGCCATTGTTGGGTCTTCTTTATTAAGGAGGGAGTGTTCAAGTTCTAAGCTCAAGCTCATGACCAATTACATCTTTTTGCAGCGGTGTAAAGAATTATTATTATGAACTGGGGCATTTTGTTTACCTTATGTTTACCACTGTATACAAAAATAGTATTCAGTACAGTGATCAAATCAATGAAGATATGATACCTTAAATATGCTTTGCTGAGATTTGAAATAACTGGCTAGTTAGGGCCCGAGCACCGATGGTGTGAGGACCCTATTGGAATTGCTCTGTTTCTTATTATTCCCAAATTAGATTTCTAATGGCTACCATTACAGATTTCAATGTACTCCATCCTATGTGAGGTTTTCCTTTACATTCATTGGTTTCTGAGCTGATTTTGTTTTGTTTCCAAAGATGTAAGAAGGTTAAACTGCAGATTTCATATGAAATATTTAGCGACCGTATCGCCAACTATCAACAAGCTTTGAAGACAGTGAAATCTAATAATCTTTCTAAACTAATTGCAGTGAATGAAAATAACCTGAGAGTTCTCTTTAAGACCATTGGTTCTATTTTACATCCTACTTCTGCAACGTATCCTCAGCTGAAGCTTTTCAAAAGTTCCTCCAATTTTTCATTTATAAAATACACAGCAACAAGGCATCTATCCCAACCTTAAACTTTTCTTATCTATCTGGAAGCCTGTTGTCTGGGCGCTCTGACTGTTTCTATCAAGCAGCGTTATCCTATTGAGTGAACTGGTAGCTAAGATGAAATGTTTACTTGTTAATTGGGTCTTTTGCCTGCTTGCCTCTGTAAAGCTGCATTTGATACGGTGGCTGCACATGTCACAGCAATTGTTAACACTTCACTTGTATTTAAGGTCTTGGTTGGGCTTGCCCCTCAATATTTCAGCGATCTTTTGACCTCCTACTCTCCATCGAGACAGCTGAGATCCTTCATCAAGCTTGGTTGTAGCCCCAAGTTTGTGGAACAGTCTTCATGTTAGGTCAATTTAGGTTAGTCTTCATGTTAGGTCTCCCCTTTCTTTTTCTCTTTTTAAATCCGCTCTCAAAATATTATTATTCTCTAGCATTTATTATTGTCTGGGGTCTTGAATTATATCATTGATTGATGCTTTGTTGTTTATATTTGTCTGTCTATTTAGACTGTACAGTACTTTAAAACAACATGTTTGTATTTAAATGTGAAATATAAATTGACCTGAATTGAATAGTTAAAGAACCAACTTCATAATACATTCATTAAAATGTGCATCTGAGATAGTGAATGAGAGGCACCAAACCCCAAAACAGATAAGCCAGGAATAGAATATTACAACATATCAAATATTATATCATCAAAAAAACAAACAAAACAAAAAAAAAAACATGACAAACTCATTACAGTGGAATTCACTACTATGTCCTGGGAAATGAATCATTATTGTCTCTATGACATGTGGTCAGTAATGAATTGGAAGCACTCAGATAGAGTTAGTAATCCATTCTTCCTGTTATTTTCATATGTATACCAAGATAAACGAATGACTGCCCAAGTGGATTTTGACTGCACTACCTGACCATATCCAAAACCAACAGTCAAACTGTGTGCTTAGAATATTTAGTAAATTGAAAGCTTATGCACTTATGATCCTTGTCTACTAAAATGAGAGCCCTTGCCTTCTACAAAAAATAAAGAACTGACAATGTGAAAGATATTTAAATTTGGCATCTGATCTCTGCTGCTATAGGAACCTAATAAAAAAAAGAGGGAGCGAGAGAGAGAGTATTCTGTTCCCACGGCCACCAGGTCTCACAGTATGAGCTCCACACAAAATATACACACATGCTGTTAATAAGGAAACTGTCATATTCATGTGGTTGTTATTAGTGAAAAGTTTTAATTATTAATTTTATTTATTTATTTGAAAAGGTATGACACACACAATGTTTCATTTTTGGGTTCTCCAGCTACAACAATAATTAAAGGTAATGAATACAGTATAAAAAAGAGAGAGTTGAAAAGTGAAAAATAAATAAATAATACTAAAAATGATAAAGTGTGGGGAAAAAATACATTAAAACAATGCATATTCTATCAGTGTTCTCTAAAACCCCAAACAGAAACAGGACAGTACTCAAAAATTATAAATGCTGTCATCATTTACTTATAATTCTTCAGTGGAACACAAAAAAAGATAGTCTGAAGAGCTGTCCTTGACTTCCATTGAATAAAAAACAACACTTAGACATTAATCAAATTATAAAATTTCTCAAAAGCTGTAATGTTCCACAGACGAAAATAAGTCATACAGTTTTGGAATGACATGAGGATGATAACATTTTCATTTTGGCGTTTACTATGCCTTTATCCCTTTAACTTTTGGTAAGTTTATGTTCAGTTTTCATTAAATTAAAAGCAGACTTGGGAGGTGTGACTGTTTGACTGGTTTTCCAGTAAAATGTTTTATATTATTTGCTTAATTGATAAATATATTATTTGCAATATTCCCTGTTACTTTGTGCATTTTGTGTACATAACGTTAGTACGCGAATTTAGTTAAAAAAGTGGCATCCTTCCTCTAGCAGATGTCGCAACAAAGGAGGAGAGCAGCAGTTCCCGCTGCCTGTATAAAGCTGTGTCAGAATGAAAGTGATCTTCACTCTGTACGGTGAAAACGGTTCCCATCAAAAGACAACCCATCTGGAGCACATCATCGCTGCTGTTGCCCGATCTGCGGTTATGTAGAAACAATAGTAGTTCACAAGGATGATTGTTGTCTTCTTACTGTTTTTCGGAGGCGATAGATTTCTTCAGTGGATTTGGGACTTCATATATGCGGAACGTCATTTGCTCCTCATGTCACCCCACTTTAGCGTGTGCGCAGCTTTCAGCACTCATCTCATCTTCTCTGCTCCCTTTATGCTTCTGGATGTGTTCAGTCCACATGTGGGATGGCTCCAGAAGTACAGGTTAAGTCGTGAAGTCGTTGGCTTGCATCAGCGGTTTCGATGTGCTACTCGAATTTTATGGAAATACATCGTTGGCGTTTTACCATTTACTGCGCTGTTTGTGTCGTTACGGCGCACGGATTTCCCGGATAGAGCGCCGTCCTCTTTCCATGCCTTCAGGGAATGTGTCTCATGCATGCTGATATTCGATACGCTCTTCTTCATTTGTCATTACACCATTCACAAGTAAGCATTTGGAGCTTTGAAATGTTAAATAACAGACTTTTAAATCTTATATTCATTTATTGTCATTTTAACCGCTTTATTAAATAAGACGCTATAAATATTACATTGATTTTTGGTATTGGAACCGGCTGACATCCATGTTGTGCAGCTTGTGTATATGAATCAAATTTTGAATTTTTTACAAAATGTTATAAAAAATTCAGTTTTCTCCTAAAACGTTAAAGGCACACATACCTGAAGTTTTGCTTGAGTGAGGAGCAGTGGTGTTTTGCCATGCTGACCTCTAACAGTCATTCTAAACATTTTACTTGGATATTTCTTTAATGTTTTCATAGACTGTCTGGGTTCTCTCCGTCTCACTCTCTGTCTTAGGTATTATTAACTTCATATATATTTGATAATGCAGGAATTTAAGGTTTTGGGTCTTTCCTTATTTTTTCTCCCCAGAATGAAGTGGGTACAGTTTATGAGAAAGAAAAAAAAAGATGTGTTTCGAGCACAGTTAATGCTTTTCATTTGAGCTTTAATGTGTTCTTAGCTTAGTGGATTTATAAAGAACAACAGGGGTCATTAGCACAGTTCCTTTAAAGCCCTACGGCCTTATTTGAAGGAAAAAATAAAGATATTTATGGATATTTCTAGATTATAATTACATGGCATTATTAAATATAATCAATTCAATATTTTAATATTTGTAATTTATTATTTCAGTATAATAATATTGCTTCTATATGGTTTATATTTATATTGTCATAAAATATTCGAGATATTATGAAATGCCAAAAGTGATTTAAATTAACCAGAAGAATCTTTGGTGAAAAATTTGTTCCAGTTTCTTTTTAGTAAAATTATGTTACACCATCAATATTCAATCATTTGAATCTTTATTATGGGGTGATGGGATCAGATTAAAACACAATAATCGTTAGTAATCTTTAGTAATCCATTTTAATGCTTTTCAGTGGATCAAATTTGACTTAAGTATGACCTTTGGGTGCAGATCTTATGACAATAGAGCAGGGGTGTCAAACTCAATTCCTGGAGGGCCGGAGCCCTGCATAGGTTAGATTCAACCCTAATTAAACACACCTGATCCAACTAATCAAGTTTTTGAGGCTAATTTGAAAGCTAAATGCTTTGTGTGTTGAAGCAGGGTTGGAACAAAACTCTGCAGGGCCCCGGCCCTCTAGGAATTGAGTTTGACACCCCTGCAATAGAGGGACTAGCGCAAAAGCAGACCTGAAAATGAGATTATCTACTAACCTGCTAGTGTAGTTCGGTGATCTACCAGCAGAGGCTGCCAAGGTCACGCTAACCAGCCAAACCTTAAAGGGTTAGTTCACCCCAAAATGAAAATTCTGTCATTAATTACTCACCCTCATGTTGTTTCAATCCCCTAAGACTTTCGTTCATCCTCAGAACACAGTTGAAGATATTTTAAACGAAATCCAAGAGGTTTCTGTCTCTCCATTGACAGCCTAAGCAACTTTCAATTTGAAGGCCCAGAAAGGTAGTGAAAACATTATGGAAGTAGTCCATGTTACTCCAGTGGTTCAACTGTAATTTTTTGAAGCGACAAGAATGCTTTTTGTGTGCCAAATAATAATAATAATAATACTGACTATATTCAACATTTTCTTCACTTCTGCTTTCATCTCTAACTCGTGTTCACAAGAGCTGCTTCTTCTTCTCCAGTCCACGACAGAGCCACGACGCATGCGTGTTGTTTTGACACAAGAGCACGACTCTCACGATACAAACCGCGCTGTACAATTTGCAAGCAGAATAACGCTGTACTACAGTATTGCAGTATTATTACAGTAGTGTTCCTCTTCTTCTGCTTGCAAACAGTACAGCACTTCCGGTATGGGTTGTATAGTGAGAGTCCTGCTCTCGCGTCAGCACAACACGCATGCGTTATGGTGCTCTCGTTGACTGGAGAAGAAGTAGCTCTCGTGAACGCACATTGGGGATTGAAGTGAGAAAAATTTCAAATATAGTCGTTATTTTTGTTTTTGGCACACAAAAGGCATTCCCGTCACTTCAGAAAATTACAGTTGAACCACTGGAGTAACATGGACTACTTCCATGATCTTTTTTTCATTACCTTTCTGGGCCTTCAAATTGAAAGTTGCTTAGGCTGTCAATGGAGGGACAGAAACCGCTCAGATTTAATTTAAAATATCTTCAATTGTGTTCAGAGGATGAACGGAAGTCTTAGGGGATTGGAACAACATGAGGATAATTAATGACAGAATTTTCCTTTTTTTACGAACTATCCCTTTAACCCTTGGGTATTTATAATGTAGGGAAAAAGGGACATTTTCATCCTAGAGTTCCCTTTATTTAAGGTGACCATACGTGCCATTTTCCCAGGACGCGTCCTGGCCAGGATTTGTTTTGGCTTTGTTTTCCTGTTTTCATGCTTGCTGAAGGTAATGATCGAAAAGTAGTTTGACCAGTAGCATGCAAGCATTGTACATAATGGACCAATCATGGCGTGTGAGAAGGTGGGATCTACGGTCAAAGCGATGCAATTACGCGATTGGACTAAAAAATTGGGTCCATTGTCCCAGTAGAGCTATTATGTGTGTAATGCATCTACAGTCTTGTCAAGAATTTATTATAACTGACTTTTTTATTATAACTTTTGATTGATTTATTATGATTTATTATAACTTTACAAGACATGTAAAGTAGAGGAAGAGGGGGTCAGATTACAAATCTTGGCCCCACTTTATATTAAGTGGCCTTAACTACTATGTACTTACATCAAAAAGTAAGTACAATGTACTTATTGTGTTCATATTGCTGCGTCGCCATGAGCAAAAAATCTCTTTATATGCCAGAAGCATGTGCACTAGTAACAGTGCCATGACTCCAAACACTTCAAAGGATTTAACTGCATAAACACATAAACTATCGTGTGCATATCTCAACATTTCATATAGAAAAAAAACACTCTCATCCATTCCTCTTTCATAATCTGTTGATGTCATTATGACATATCACATTAGGGCAGTCGTGGCCTAATGGTTAGAGAGTTGGGCTTGTAATCCAAAAGTTGTGGGTACGGGTCTCGGTACCAGCAGGAATTGTAGGTGGGGGGAGTGAATGTATAGCACTCTCTTCTACTACCTTTGGTACCATGATTGAGGTGAAACCCTTCAGCAAGGAACTTCACCACACGTCACATCAATTTCACACTTTTTCACTTTCATAGCTCACTCTACTTGTTGTCTCCACTTGTAACTTTAGCAAGGCCTATATTTATGCATAATTTCTGTATCTATTTATATTAAATATATGAATTTATATTTATATTATTATGTATAATATTATTATAGAACTAAATCAAATGTCTGCATTTTTTCCCAGAATTCCCTGGCTATACCACAACATCCACCGCATTCACCATCAGAACAGGGACACTTTTGCTCTGGCAGCTCAAGACTCCAGTATTTCTGAACTGTTGTCTCTACAAACCCTTGCATTTACAAGTGCCATGCTTGTGGGCTGCCACCCTTTTAGCGAAATCCTTTTCCGTCTGGTTAACACCTGGATGGCTGTGGAGGACCACTGTGGATATGAATTTCCTTGGGCACTGCATCGGTTGTTGCCGTGCTTTGGCGGGGCGCCGCACCACCTGGCCCACCATCAGCACTTTAAAGGGAACTTCGCCCCTTACTTCAGACACTGGGATTACATCTTTGGGACCTCATTGCCCATTTCAGCAAATGAGTGAGACAATAGATAGGGTGAATCTAGGTTAATTAAGCCATTATATGAGAGTGAGAATGAGACTATTAAAAGTATCTGAAGTACCTATTGTATAAAAAAAAAGTGAAAAAAAAGTGATGTGACATGTGGCCAAGTATGGTGACCCATTCTTGGAATTAGTGCTCTGCATTTAACCCGGGGAGCAGTTGGGGGTTCGGTGCCTTGCTCAAGGGCACCTCAGTCGTGGTATTGAAGAGACTTTCAACCAGCATAACAAAAAATCTTTCTGAAGACAATCACCTATTGCACCTTTAATTGCTTTAATGGTTTGATTTGGCTCTTGAGTTGGAGAGTAAATTAGGCCATGGCAGTGAAGTTGGAGACTGATCAGTGGTAGTTGGCACTTAAAAGCTTTGGCAGAGCTGATCATGTCAGTCATGTTTGTCCAGCGAGGACACTTGTGTTAGTAAGCAGGGCTAAAACCACCAGTTTTATACCGATTAATTTCCACAAACTTTACCTGATGGTTTGAGAAATTAATTTTAAGTACTTAACTGAATCTTGCTAAGCTTTTCCAGTGAAGGCCACATCGCATCTGTACACTGCAACAAGTCTGGATGCCCATCATCATTCACTTCCAATGTGCCAAAAAGCCTTTCCTTAAACCAACATTTTTAATTAACAGTATAGCTCAGTATATTAACAGTAATAGTAATAATTTTAATTAACAGTATAGCTCACTCACTCCATTTTGATATGCAAATAAGATTTCCAGTGTCACTTACACAGATCAACCCAAAGCAAAAAGCAGGATTTATTCCTGCTAAAGCTTGAGCTCAAGTTTTACAGAAAGAGTAGGTGCAATTTCATTGTATTTTATGTGGAATGCCTCACACATGGTTAAAGAGTCGGACTTGTAACCCGAAGGTTGTGGGTTCGAGTCTCAGGTCCGACAGGGATTGTCGGTGGGGGGAGTGAATTATCAGCGCTCTCTTCCACTCTCAATACCACAACTGAGGTGAGACCCTTGAGCAAGGCACCGAACCCCCACCTGCTCCCCGGGCACCCAGCAACATGGTTGCCCACTGCTCCGGGTGTGTGTTCATGGTGTGTGTGTGTTCACTACTGTGTGTGTGTGCACTTGGATGGGTTAAATGCAGAGCACAAATTCCACACATCACTTCACTCATTTCACTTTCACTCATATTGTCAATGGCATAATTCCCACTGCAGGGCATTAGGAGATGTGAGCCCACAGGAAGAGGACATTAGGTGGATGAGGAATCACAGCACAGCAAAATTTGACTGTCAATATTTGAACTTAAACCTAAAATATAAATGTGGAATGTGAAATATGATTGGTAAAATATGAACTGCTCATTAAAATCATGGCGAATGGATAGTAGATCAGACTACTCTGTGTAAAATAATTTTGCAAATAAAGTAACAAAACTGGTACTCTTTTTATTTAACTTGAATTTAACTTTCTTTCTTTCCCTACCATTTCATCATTTCCTACTCATGTAATTTACTTTGTTACCTGTAAATTAGTCTTGTTTTTATACCTTAAATTGATGAATGAAGTTTTCCTCTGTTTGATTCACCTTACCAAGAAACACTGATATTATTAATGATTGGAGGCCACCTATTAGAGAGAAACAGGAGAGTGTCACTACCTCTTTGAATCCCCTCCAATGGCTACAGACCTAAAAATGAAAATTCTGTCATTTACTCACCCTCATGTCATTACAAACTAATGTGACTTTCATTGTTCCCAAATTTAGGAATATTTTCTATAATGAGAATGCATCCCAGGATTTTATTTACTGATATTAGAGGGCATCTTAAAGAGCAAAATAAATTTGTGGATGAAGTGTTCAACAGACAGATTTAGGACACTGTATTTCCAATTACCATGATAGGAATACTTTATTTGAAGCAAGTCCCATTTAGCTGACTTACAGCGTATCCCCTGGGATAAATCCCTGATATAACAGGAGCTATCACTTGTTGGAATATTTTCCATACTGACTGCCAAAAATGCTGACCATAATGCATAATGCTTTTTCTTCTTTAAGTTTTGCTCTTTCTGCAAATACTGACTCCACGGTGGCTCCACAGGCAGCAGTAGCCTATTCTTGACTCTCCTCCAGGACCCTCTTTTGCCAAAATCAATCATTCTTTCTGTGACTTTCATTGAAGAGGTGATACAGCAGTGGAGGAGCTTCAGTTTCAAACAAATCTAACTGCTTTATTGAAAATTCAAATAGTGTTTTCTATGCATGTCTTAAGATGTTTTCTCCATTGTTGTACTAGCGACTGGTTCTGGAGACATTGTTTCTCCAGTTGGCAACAAGTTACTGTCATTATGAAGTGAAGTGAAAGTGAAAGTGACGTGACATGTGGCCAAGTATGGTGACCCATACTCGGAATCAGTGCTCTGCATTTAGACTCACTCAGTCACCTGATTCCTTCAAAATCACTGATTCATACATGAACTGAACAAGGCACATTCCATACGAGTAAATAATTAAATAATCAAGTCAACTGAATCGTTCAGAAGCACTGATTCATGAGAGAGTGTCATATGAATTCAGCTGATTCCTTTAAACCATGTTGGTTTCGTCTGGCCAGAGGAGAACTGGCCCCCCGACTGAGCCTGCTTTTTGCCCAAGTTTTTTTTCTTCATTTCTGACACTGATGGAGTTTTGGTTCCTTGCCACTTTCACCTTTGGCTTGCTTAGTTGGGTACACTTAATTTTTGACAATACTATTGACTTGATTGCACAGACACTATTGGAAGAGAACTGAACTGAGCTGGACAATGATATTACTGAATCAACGATGTACTGCCTTTAACTGAAAAATTGACTGTTAATATTGTCCTCTTTTTAGAGCTGCTTTACAGCAGAATTGAAATTTGTTTGCATTATTGACACACTATTTTCCTGTTTAACACTGTAAAGCTGTTTGACACAGTCTGTATTGTATAAAGTGCTATAAATAAAGGTGACTTGACTTGACTTGACACTGATCCTTACAGGAAAGAAACCCCGCCAATAGAGCTCAAAGATGCGCAACGGTTGTGCTTTAACTTCCTTTGGAGATATTTTCATTGATGGAGCAAAATAGACATAACTGGCAAATTGTGTCTAAAATGTAAGTTACTCAATAGTAACTTCTTGTTTGTTGAACTGTTATATAAAAGCAATATCACACTCGCTATAGTGCTGTTTTTCAAATTAACATGGCTGTGATAACCGTGCTATTTGTATTTGGAACAGAGCTCTTGCTTCTGTGATATTGCTTATATATTCAGTTACAGCTAAAATAATTTAATCTTACTGAAGTTTGTTCTTAATTGCCTATTTAATGTCCGTATAGATAATTTTTTTGGTACTTCTATGAAACTTTATGGCTATTGTGCATCCTTTTTGAAGTATGAACATACCATTAGTTAAATAAATAAAGCAAGTCATGGGTTTAGAACAACATGGGGGTAAGTAAATGATGACAAAGTAAAGAAAAGTAAATGAGTAAACTATAAGTAAATTAGTTTTTTGGGTGAACTATCCCATAAGATGTAAAAAAAAATGTAAGAAGCTATACCTCTACAAATGTACTGAGTTTGAAATTTGAATGTATTAGAAGAATGTATCCCACAAACATTATTTTAACCTTGGCAAACTTAGTCTTGTCATTCATCATCCATCATTCATCTCTTATTCCCAGAGCACCTGACAAGATTTCCCACTCTATATTATTTGCTAAATTGTTTCCTAAATGAATGTTCAAGTCAAGAGCTTGTACATCTCGTCAATCACAGCACAAGAGCTTGTAAGTAGCCTCAGTCCCTTGACAATGTATCCCTCCTCCACCATCTTCCTTCTCCATCTTCATTTTTAATCTCTGTACATTAACTAATTTTAATTAAGTAGTCCAGGGAGGAACTACAGCCACTACAACTTAAATTCCCTTAAAATATCATCATTAAAAAGAGGTACCGTAATCTACATAGTCTCTGATTTTTAATATTTAGGATAATATTCTAAGAAATATAATTCTAAAATACTCTATTGTGCATTACGTGAAGGTTTATAGCTTAACGGAGCTTGCAGTATCATATCAACATTAATATTGTCTCAGATATTTTCCCTAAAACTTCACAAAGCAGTGAAAACAGCCACAATGACCCAGTTGTAAACATAAAAAAAGGGAAGTGACGTATGGCAACCCATACTTGGAATTTGTGCTCTGCATTTAACCCATCCAAGAGCACACACACACAGTGAACCCACACCCAGAGCAGTGGGCAGCCATATTGCTGCGGTGCCCGGGGAGCAGTTGGGGGTTCGGTGCCTTGCTCAAGGGTCTCACCTCAGTCATGGCACTGATGGTGGAAGAGAGCGCTGGTTATTCACTCCCCCCACCGACAATTCCTACCGGACCTGTGACTTGAACTCACAACTTTCACCGACTCTCTAACCATTAGGCCACAACTGCCACAACTGCCTCAAGTAATAGTTAATCTAAAAATGAACATTTACTTTCAAAAATGTACTCAGACCATCCAAGATGTTAGATGAGCTTGTTTCTTTATCAGAACAGATTTGGGGAAATTTAGCATTACATCACTTGCTCACCAATAAATCCTCTGCGGAGAATGGGTGCTGTCAGATTGAGAGGTTACAACAGCTGATAAAAACATCCCAATAATCCACAAGTATTCCACACGACACCAGTCCAACAATTACAGTCTTGTGAAGTGAAAAGCTGCATGTTTGAAACATAATCCAGAATAACACATAATTCATAATAACACATCCTCTAGTGAAAAAGTCCATCCTCTGTTGTACTCTGCCACGAACGCCGGTGAAGATTCCTCAGTCGGCCACCGGAGGTCTCACTCACCTGAGTATTAGCATTCAGTTTGGACTACAGTGAACAGGAACCCATATTCCTGGACTGATTACTGCACACCTGTCCCTAATCATTCAGACAATTTAAACCCTGTGTGTTTGTTGACTCAAGCCTGTTTCACACATACTCCGTCTGCAATGCGTATGCATTGCTTTTTTTTTTTACGTACCCATGTTA